CTGATACCAGTCGTTGGGCTAAAACGGCCCAATGACATCTTTAACAATGGTGTGATATTGTCCGCTTTGGGCCAAGCCCGCAGGGTTTTTCCCAAAAGGCCTCACACCATTAAGAGATCCCTACACCTTATATGTAGACTCCAATCTTTTCAGCTACCAATGTGGGACTTTTGTTCGCACACCCAACACATTTACTATTTTGTCCTTAATGAAAAACTTTTATACCACACAAATATCATGATCCCGTAAAAGCTTTTACCCCTTAAAATTTTTACATAAATTTTAAAAAATTTCTTCTTTTTCTTTAAACCTCTGTATCGAATCAAACTATCTTATCTAAATTGAAACGGATGCAGTAGTATATGACTTATTTAGAGACGTCCATCGTACAACGAGCAGCGAAGCTTCACATAGAAAGTTAACAACTAATAATTTCCAACCTTTTCTTTTTTCCCACAGGGTGTATGCTAAAAGTTAATTCCTTGGATAATCATCAAGTTATAGAAATAACTCAATAAAGCCACTTTTATTTTTTACCCAACACTTAAAATTAACGGAACATAACCTGATCTTCACTCCCAATGCCTGCTGTTTTAATCACTTGGATATATTGATCATAAGTTTATCAATATAAATTGAGTGACACAAGTCACGAATGAAAGATAAAAACAGAAGCGAATTCACTTGCTATATTTCAAGAAAAAACATACCAAAGGAATATAAACAAGTAGGTAGATTAATCAATGCATTTGCCCAGAAGAATAATCAATCAAATTTTCTAATATAACTTAAATTCAAACTAGAAGTGTCGCACCCAAAAATTTGAACAAGTTTTGATCGGTTTCATTATTTTTATAGCAAACTCATTTTGCTTCGGGTAACTATAAATGAAGTTTTGTGATTTAAAAAATGAATTTTAAAAATTGCATCTGCCATTTAATAATCCAGTGAGAGAACTAAGCTTTTTCCGGCTAGAGTTACTTTTTAAGAGACAAAAGTTAGAATTGAATGGTTTTATTGTCCCTAAATAAATAAAAGTGACTTTACTGAGTTGTTTCCATAACTTAATGATAATTAATGGAATTAACTCGCTAACTGCTACTTCCTTCGGTCCAAAATAAGTGGTTTTTTGGATGTTTTTCAACACAGATTAAAGAAATCCATCTTTTAGCATTAATTAGCAATGAAATTGACCATATTAACCTTTACTATCTCACATAAACACTCCTAAACACATACTCCAACACTATTTACTCCAAGGAACAATGTAGGAAAAAATAATTAATTCATTCTTGAAAACTGAAAAAAATCACTTAATTTTGGACCAACAAAAAAAAAGGCCAAAAACTCACTTATTTGGACCGGAGGGAGTAATGTGTCAAGGATAGTCCATACGTGCAATACGTTCAACATATGCCAAGTAGTGAGTGATATTCTGCCATATACCAAGAATATTGGGTGATTCAAAATTTTGGTTTTGGTGCAAGTGTAACAACTTGATCGTCGTTTTGAGCTTTAATGTTCCATTCAGTGGTTTGAAACTTTGAGTAGTTTTATATTATGTATTTATGACTTGCATGTATGGTTGGCTTCGATTTTCGAGCGGTTTGGAATTTGATATGGAAGAATGATTCCCGTTTTAGAAAGCTTTAAGTTGGAAGAGTTGACCAAGGTTTGATTTTTGGGTAACGGACTCGGAATCAGATTTTGATTGTTATGAATAGGTTCGTATTATGATTTTTTACTTGTACGTATATTCAGATTTGTTTTCAAAGGTTCCTAGAAGAATTCGACACTAATGTCGAAAGTTGGCAATTTGAAGAACTTAAGAGTTCGTAAGTTTGATCATAGTTGACTTTGATGTTATAGGACTCCATTTGGTGTTCCGAGACTTTGGATATATTTATATAGTTGAATTGAACTTGTGAGCAAAATTTAAAAGTAATCCGAAGTGTTTAATGTGTGATTCGAAACACTTTTCTGAAAGAATGAAGATTTAACAACTTAAGAGAAAAATCTATTTCCGACTTGAACCTCGATTCTTTGTTATGATGGTCCTGTGGGTGTTTTGAGACTTTGGATAAGTTTTGTATAATGTGTTTGTACTTGTTGGTATGATTGAATGGGGCCCAAGGGTCTAAGTGTATTTTGGAATATTGGTTGAGACTAGTTAAGTTTAAGGATTTAAATTTGACCATGTTCAATATAAGATCAAAATGTCCTCTTTTTCGGAGTTTTGAGTGCGTGATCAGGTTCGTAGCGTATCTTATGATTGAAATGCATATATGTTTTGTGTCCGGGAGGTTCTGAATGAAGTTTTGGGTGCTAAAGCGAAGATTTTCTTATTGCTGATTTTTTTTTTTTTGGTGTAAATAATTATGAAAATGCCATTGAAATTTTAGATTTCTTTTAAAACTCCAAACATCATATCTACATCAATTTAAAAGGCAAAATTGGGTAGGCTATCTTGGGTTAAATCTCGCAAGGATCGTGTTGAGCTTATTAAAGTGAGCTTCGAGACCATCTAGGACTGAATCGAGTTGGGCAGCTGCTGTATTTTTTTTTTTCCGGAATTTAGTTATTTTTTCTCACAAGATTTTCGAGCTTGGTTTTGGGCGATTTTGGATGGGATTTTCATCTACAAACACTGGGTAAGTGATTCTAATCAATTTCACACTATATTTCATTAATAATACCTTAGATTTTAACATCAAATTTATGAGGAAAAAAAAGAAGAAGGAAAATTGGGAAATTTTGTCAAGTTTTAAAAAAATAAAGAATTGATTTTTGAGAATCAATATGGACTTAGATTAAATTATAAATCTCCAATATTTGGCTAGTCCTTTTTCTTGTAGGAAAAGGTTTGGACTTCTATAAATTGAGGATCATTCCTTCACATTCAGTAGCATCCAAGCCGTATGGGGTTTGAGAGTCGTGTTTAGGGGGAGAACTTTACGGGACAAGTGTTAGTGTGTCACTTGTGTTTGCCTCTTCGTGAGGTTGTTCTCTCGATATTTTGTACTCTCTTTTTATTATAGTGGATTGTTCATCTCCGTTGTGGATGTAGGTCAGTTGACCGAACCACGTTAAATGTTTGTGTCTCTTTTGGTAGATTTCTCCTTTGTTGTTGGATTTATCGTCGCTCAAGGTTTGCTTTGCTAGCTTCCGCATGACACCTGATTTTTTCGGTCTTAACAAGTGGTGGTATCAGAGCCCAGGTTCAGCGGAACGAGTATGGAGATGGCGGAGTGATGGTGCAGGGCGGTGCACACACAAGAAGAAGCTAGTTGCGGGCTTCGGTTGCCATAATACTCTAGCAATGTGGGTGGCACACAGTGAATCTCGAAAATTAACCCGTGGATCGTGGTAGTGGGCCACGTGGAACTTAGTTCGAGGGGGAGATTGTTGGGTGTGCGAACAAAGTCCCACATTGGTAGCTGAAAAGATTGGGAGTCTACATATAAGGTGTAGGGATCTCTTAATGGTGTGAGACCTTTTGGGAAAAACCGTGCGGGCATGACCCAAAGCGGACAATATCACACCATGTTAAGAGTGTCATTGGGCCGTCTTAGCCCAACAACTATGAAGAGTTTGAAGTTGAATTATTTTATGGAAAATCACGAATCTTTAATACTTTGAAAAGATTGATCCTTGTACTCTAGCAATAGTACCTTCTCTTACGTTTCTTTTCTTTTTTTTCTTTTTGCTTCCAGTTTCTACACAAATTGGAGTACTGGACCATCCTTTAGAGGAACCCACCTAGAAACCATAAAAATTAAATACTCTAACAAAAATATTTGCAATTAGAAAAGAACATTTAAGCTCTTTGTATAAAACTCTCACTTATGTACAAAATCTTCAGAATGGTCGCACTGCATTAAGCCTTTGTAGGCAGTATTACTATGTATTTCTCAAAGTCGTTTGCATGACTTAAACTCGTTAGCTTCTGCATGACTGCAATTATATATCCATCAAAAAGTACTAAAAAGTATCCGACGACCAATTTTGGTAAACATATATTGCTTCGCCATATCATAAGTTTGTCCAGAGTTACGGGTAACAAAGGGATTGTAAAATCTCTCTTTTCAAAGGTGTTGAAAAAGCATTAAAATTAGACTATTGAAAACTATTCCTCCAAGTCCTAGTAGTGGGCGGTGTAAACTTTTGACTTTATTCAAATCTGCATTTAAAATAATCCATGATGCTAATTAAGCATCCCTTGCTTTTACGTCTTATTGACATGGACATCTATATTAATTATCAGCTTATAGCTTTAGGCTACTTGGACTAAATCAAATTAAGAGAGAGTTTGTTATTCTTGAAAGTCTTCCATCTAGATTAATCAGTGTGGAATGCTTTGAAATGAAATTATATAACAACAAGTTGTTGACGACAGAAAAAAGTAAGCAGCCAAAATAACTGATTGACAATTTCGTGTACAAATCCTGACTAACGAGTTGGAAAATAGTATAAGAACACTTGACTTGTACTAAATGAAACCTAAAACGGGTCCAAGCTATTAGTCCATGATATGCCGCGTTGAAGCCATCTTTGGGTATTTCTAGAAATCATAACCCCACACCCCCCCACCCCCAAGTTAAAGAGAAGAAAAAAGGACAACAAAAAATATAGAAGACGCAAAATAAGAATAGTTGATGTTGTGATATAAGATAAGTAGTAGGGATCAATTTGTAATTAGAGAAAAGTTATAATTGGTCGGTTAAAAAGGCAGTTAACACTGTTCTATAAAAGAACAGTGTAGTCGTATATGTTCAGCTAGCTGAAATGAGAAACCTTCTTCTTCCTTCTCTCTAGAACCTTCCTCCATTGTAGAGTATCTCATTGCATGTTTCAGTTAATGAAGATTTACATAGAATCTGTATAAATTGACATGGTATCAGAGCAGCGAGACTGAGGACACGAGCTCCGATGAGAGGTTCCGGCGAGTCAGCTAAAGTTTGAAGAAATTCACCGGAGACGAAGCAGAATTTCAGATCACCATGGCAGGAAATGAGGCAACCTCACTCGAACACAATCATCCTCTATTTCTTCAAGCAGCAGATGCACCATGTCTAGTTTTAGTTCCAATTAAACTTACAGGGCCAGAAAATTATGCCTTGTAGAGTAGGGCAATGAAAGTAGCACTTATGGGAAAGGCAAGCTTGGATTTGTAGATGGAACATGTGTTAAAAGTTCGTATAGAGGAGAATTAGTAGCACAATGGGAAAAATGTGATGCGATTGTACTGTCGTGGATTGGAAGCACAGTCTCTAATGAATTGATGCCAAGCATAGTTTTTGCACCCACTGCTAGGAAAGTATGGAGTGATTTGAAGGAGAAATTTGATAGATGTAGTTTAACTAGAATATATCATCTCTGGTCAGAGATTGCTAGCCTTAAACAAGGCACTGATTCTGTGACTACTTACTATACAAAGATGTCAGATCTATGGAGTGAATTAGATGTATTGGTACCCCTGCCTTCATGTGATTGTGAAGAATCAAGGCCTTCAGTAGAACATCTGAGAAATCAGAGACTTTTGACATTTCTCATGGGCCTAAATGAAAGCTACAACAATGTAAGAAGCAATGTTCTTCTTAAAAGAACATTTGTGATTGTAAACGAAGCTTATGCCATAGTGACACAGGAGGAGAGTCAACGAACACTAGGTGTAGTTGACACAAATAGAGATCCATTAACTATGCTTGCAGGAAAAGGACATGCTTTTAAACCTAAGAAGTTTGGACTGATTTGTTAACATTGTGGCTACAAGGGAAATTTGAAGGAGAATTGTTACAAAATTGTTGGCTATCCAGCTGACTTTAAAAGCAAAAAGAAACCTCAGACAGGAGGAAACAGATCTTTCGTCAATGCTGCAAGAACTGAAGAAACAGGAGGGACAAGCAATCAGCCACAAGGGCATTTCCTCACTGAGGAACAGTATCAGCAGCTAATAGGGCTTCTGAACAAGCAAGGAGGTGAAGAATGCTCTACAAACATGGCAGGTATTATGACTTTATTATCCAATATTCCTCTAACTAGTTGGATAGTAGACTCTGGGGCAACTCATCATGTTGCTCATGATAAGAGAATAATGAGTGATATAAAACAGTTTGAAGGACATGGAGTTCAATTGCCAACAGGAAATAAGGCAGAGATAACGTATACTGGAAAGGCTACTATTTTAGGAGGCAAATGTATAAAGGATGTACTGCATGTGCCGGATTTCAAGTTTAATTTGCTGTCAGTTGCAAAACACACTAGAGACCTCACTTACACAGTGAAGTTCTTCCCTGATTTTTGTATGTTGCAGGGACTTTACAATGGCAAGGTATTGGGGATTGGTAGAGAATCTGATGGTCTATACATACTAAAAGAATATGCACAAGCAGCAGGCATAACAGTAGGAGCAGTAATAAAAGAAGAACAAACACAACTTTGGCACTACATAATGGGACATGCATCATGGAATTCTATACAACATATATCATCTCTACAAGACAAGATATGTGCAGGACAATCAAGAAATTGTAGTGTTTGTCCTCTAGATAAACAAAGTATATTGCAATTCCCTAACAGTGTAAGTAAGTCTAAAGCAGTTTTCCAGCTAGTTCATTTAGATGTATGGGGTCCTTACTAGACACCTACATATTATAGAAAGTATTACTTTGTGACTATGATTGATGACTTTACCAGATACACATGGGTATGCTTGATACATTCTAAGTGTGAAGTGTGTGTTGTATTGAAAAATTTTATTGCAATAATAAAGACACAATTTGATACTGGCATCAAGACCCTGAGATCAGATAATGGCACAGAATTTTTCAATGCCAAGTGTAATGAATTGCAGGCTAAAAATGGGATCATACATGAAAGCAGTTGTCCATATACTCTTCAACAAAATGGCATAGTTGAGAGAAGACATAGGCACATTCTAGATGTTGCTAGGGCACTAAAATTTCACAGTGGAGTGCCTTTAAAATTCTGGGGTGAATGTGTTAGGACTGCTGTATACTTAATCAATAGGCTCCCAACACCAGTTCTGCAAGGCAGGACACCATATGTTATGCTCTATGGGAAGTTTGTTACCTTAGATCATTTGAGAGTGTTTGGATGTCAAAGTTTTGCTTGTAATCTTCCTAAGGGAGACAAATTTTCTCCCAGAGCAAGGAGAGCAGTGTTCATTAGATATTCTGAGACACAAAAAGGTTATAGACTATATGATCTTGATAATCATGTGGTATTTGTTAGCAGGGATGTCAAGTTTCAGGAGTATGTTTTCCCTTTCAAACAGACTTCTAACAACCATGATGAAGAAGCATTGTTCTCAAAATCTATTGAGCCTGTTTTTTATCTCAATCCCCCTTCCCAACATACACTAGCTACCTCATAAGATGAGGAAGCCACCTTTACACCCATCTTGATAGAACCTGAAGTAACATTAGAAGGTTCTGAGAATGTTGTTGTTAGTGAAGGCCAAGATACTCTTCCACAAGTGGAGCAACCAGCTTCCCAGATAGAGGAACCAGCTCCCCAAAATGACATGTTGATCAACTCACCTTCCTCTACTACCATACCTCCACCTGCTCCAATTGTTGAAAACTCCAGATCTCACAAACAAACCAAGAAACCACTCTGGCTCAAAGACTATGTCACCACTAAACTACCAGGCAAATATATATATCCTATGTCCAATCATCTCTCTTATACTCAGCTTTCAACTGCATATCAGACATATCTTCAAGCTTTCTCTACTTCAGTGGAGCCTACATCATACAAGGAAACAACAGCAGATCCAGACTGGGTGCTTGCTATGCAACAGGAAATACAAGCTTTAGAAGACAATCATACATGGGAGATTGTCAATCTTCCACCAGATAAACAGGCCATTAGGTCCAAATGGGTGTACAAAATCAAGTATAAGGCCAATGGTGAAGTTGAAAGGTTTAAAGCTCGATTGGTAGCCAAAGGATAGACACAACAGGAAGGCTTAGATTATCATGAAACTTTTTCTCCAGTTGCTAAGATGGTGACTGTCAGAACTGTCATTGCTGTTGCAGCATCTAAAGGCTGGCCTCTTTTCCAAATGGATGTCAATAATGCTTTCCTACAAGGGGACTTATGTGAAAAAGTCTACATGCAGTTACCTCAGGGATTCCACAGTCAGGGGGAGTCTAAAGTATGTAGACTACTTAAATCCCTCTATGGCCTCAAGCAAGCCTCGAGGCAATGGAACATCAATTTAACACATACACTATTACAAGCTGGTTTCACTCAAAGTCCTTATGATCATTCACTATTCACCAAAAGGGATAAGGTAGATATTGTCATTGTATTGGTATATGTGGATGATCTTCTGATATCAGGAAGTAATAGTAGTTTGATTCAGGAAGCAAAGGAGACTCTACATAGAAATTTTAAGATGAAAGACTTAGGTGAACTCAGATACTTTCTGGGAATTGAAGTGATGAGATCCAACAAAGGCATTTTATTCAATCAGAGAAAATATGCCTTTCAACTGATCTCAGAAGTTGGACTAAGTGCTTGCAAGCCAGTATCCACGCCAATGAAACAAAATCACAAGCTTACTACAGTTGAATATGACAAGCATGCTGGAAATGTCAATGATGCAGAGTTGCAGGAAGCAGGCAGCTATCAAAAGCTAATTGGCAAGCTATTGTACTTGACAACCACAAGGCCAGACATATCCTTTGTTGTTCAAGTATTGAGCCAGTTCATGCAACATCCTAAAGAGCCACATATGGAGGCAGCTCTAAGGGTTGTCAAATATGTTAAAGGAAGGCCAGGTCTAGGAATTTTGCTAAAAGGTGAAGCCACTGATGAGCTCACAGCATACTGTGATTCAGATAGGGCAGCCTGCCCAAACACTAGGAGGTCAGTGACAGGTTATGTGGTGAAATTCTTTATTGTCCTGGAAATCCAAGAAACAGCAAATTGTTAGTAGAAGCTCTGAAGAAGCAGAATACAGAAGCATGGCAGCAGCTGTAGCAGAGCTCATATGGATGAAGGGTCTGTTGGAAGAATTGGGCAACAAAGTGAAGGAACCTATACATCTACATTGTGACAGTAAGCCAGCATTACAAATTGCAGCAAATCCAATTTTTCACGAAAGAACAAAAAGCACATAGAAATCGACTGTCATTTTGTAAGGGAAAAGATTAAGGAAGGAATGGTCACAACTAACTACATTCCCACAAAGTAGCAGATGACAGACCTAATGACAAAAGGACTTGCAGCAACCCAACACAAATTGCTCTTGGACAAGCTAGGAGTGCTCGATGTATTCCACCCTCCAGCTTGAGGGGGAGTATTGTGATATAAGATAAGTAGTAGGGGTCAATTTGTAATTAGAAAAAAGTTATAATTGGTCGGTTAAAAGGGCAGTTAACACTGTTCTATAAAAGAACAGTGTAGTCGTATATGTTCAACTAGCTGAAATGAGAAACCTTCTTCTTTCTTCTCTCTAGAACCTTCCTCCATTGTAGAGTATCTCATTGCATTTTTCAGTTAATGAAGATTTACATAGAATTTGTATAAATTGACAGTTGACATATTTTTTACGGTTAGCTAATAATACATTTACTGTGTACAGAAACTTTACAGTATCAAATCACCTTAAAAGCCATAATATATATAATCTTTTAACGCAATCATGAAGTGATAACATGCAAAACATGATGAATGACCAACCAGAATAGTTAAAACTACTTTATGTAAAAAAAATTTACACAAATCATATATATATATAATTTATAATCTTCATTTTTACTCAAGGTCGTGTAGATCATTCATGTTGTTGTCTAATTTTATTTACAACAACGTCATACTCAGTAATTGATTAATTGATTAATATAAATGTATATCTTGGAATTTATTTTGTGAAAATTTTACATGTTAATTTGTGTAGAATAAGTCATGTCTCAAGATAATATATTATTACTATTAGTTTTAATATAACATGTACAGCCATAGAATAATTGAAAAATTTTAGAAAAAATAAAATAGCGAATAAACAAGGTGATAGGAACTTTCATTGCTACTAAAATCAATATTCTGTAAAAAAAATTAATAATAAAGCAATCTAATCTCGACTTTTTTCTATGATTTGTAGCCATGAAACTTTTTGTCTGTGGCTAAACAAAAATACTTTTGCAGTTACATATCAAAACTTCCGTAGCAAATAAATTTAAAACTTTTGCCACGCTATATCACTTTGTAGCTACCATAATAGCTACAAATTAATTTGTTGTGGCAAGAATATAAAATCATTTGCTATAAATATATTTGTCGTGGCAAAAGTATAAAACTATTTGCTATGAATATAGCTACAACACAAAATTTTCGTAGCAATAAGTATTAATCCTTAGCCACGGGTCATGTAAAGTTTGTAGCTAACTTTTAGCTACGCTACATTTTGCTACAAATGCTACGGAAAAAAATATTGTGGCTAAAGTGTTTAGGTACAAAAAATTTTATAATTAGCTACGTTGTGTTTTGTAGCTATAAATGTATTATGTTGTAGTGAGTAGAATCTCATAAGTGGGGACTGGAATAATATATATTTAATTTTATTTACGTGAGGAAGAAAATGAAAGAGAGAGTGATTGGCGCTGGTCCTGAATCCTGATGTTGTCAAGTTGATATCAAAACCTTATCATGTTTCCATTTCATAAAGGTTGTTGTCTCTCCATTTCTTTCTGATGGAATATGATAATGTTCTTGGGTTTATATATTGTTGTTATTACCAACCCATATTATTAGAAATGTTTATTTAGCTTTCATGCCTTTCCTAGGCAATTTTAGTATTTCACTTGATGTAATTAAGACTACCAAATGTTGGCATTTAAAAAGAATTAAAAAACATGTTTCACCAAAACAACAACTATATACACTAGTTATAAAGAAGTAAACTGATTGATAGATCGTAAATAAATAAAAAATGAAGAAGCTAAGTTGACATATGTTTGGAATGAAAAAAAATTGGGAAAAAAAAATTAGAAATAGACAAATTTATAACTGGTAGTTAAAAATTAGTCATAGTTTCAAAAGCAATCGAATTTATCCACTTTGTAATGTAAAGATAAAATCTGAACATAAACACTCTTAAAATCCGGAAAAATTTCAGTATAATATGTTGGAGTACGGATTTTTTATATATGAGATCCCTACATAATGTGCTGGAATTCCAACATAATATGCTGGAAGTTTATACGCAGGAGCTCCATAATCCGGCATATTATGCTAGAACTTTCTGTGCGTTGGAGCTCCAACATAATACGCTGGAGTTCGAATTTTTTTATATATGAGATCCTAACATAATATGCTAGAATTTCGTAATGTGTTGGAGTTCCAACATAATATGCTGGAAGTTTATACGCAGGAGCTCCCTAATCCAACATATTATGCCGGAACTATCTGTGAGCTGCAGTTCCAACATAAAATGCTAAAAGTTCATATGCAGGAGCTCCATAATCCACATATTATGCTGGAACTTTTCGTGTTTTAGCAAAATAGTGGTTATTTTTCAATGACTTTGCAAACGCATGTTATTTTTTTAATTACCAGTCCGAAAACACTACTAGAAGTTCGGCCAAAACCGACCGCAGTCGACCGACCGACTTTGGTTGATCAAAAAACTGGCCGAAAAATCGACCGAAGTCAGTCAGTTTTTCAAAATATTTTATTTTTGATTTTTTTTTTACGAAACCGGCCAACTTTGGTTGGTTTTGGCGCAAAAATGCGGAAAACTATTTTTGCGACCCGCGAAATTTATTTTTTAAGAAACCGACCAACTTTGGTCGGTTATTTATTTAAAATAAGTTAAAATTAATATTCAAAATATCGATCGGAATCGGTCGGTTATTTCAGCCGGTCATTTTAAAAGACCGACCGATTTTAGTCGGTAAAATTATTTTTTAATAAAACCGACCGATATCGTTCGGTTATTTTTGCGCGAAAATGTAATTAATGAGTATAAATGAAATAAAAGACACTCTTAAAATAAAATGCACCAATGGTCTAGTGGTAGAATAGTATCCTGCCACAGTACAGACCCCAGATCGATTCTCAGATGGTGTATATTTTAATTACGTAATTAAAATACTGACTGTCTTCGGGCGGTTTTTTCGATAACTTTTTCTTTTTTTGAATTTAATTGACCGATCCAAATTGGTCGAAAAATACCGACCGAAGTCGATCGGTTGGCTCTACCGACCGTACGATTACCGATCGCCACGAATCGGTCGATTTTCGATCGATTTTGCCAATTACCAACCAACATCGGTTAATTTTGGCAGTCAATTTTTCCCTTTTTTTAGTAGTGAAACTGACTAGCGCGTGCTATTTTCACCATTCGAAGACAATGTTAGGCCAAGAGTAGGCCCAATAATGTTGGGCTTCAGTAGTTCCAACTGAATGTAACGTCTGTACTCTAGCCCGAGAAAAAGGAGATTTTTACATAAATAATCGATCAAATTTTCTATTTAATTTCCTAGCAAGTATACATAGATTATACATTAATTATATACGATTATATATATATATATATATATATATATTAGAGAGACCGAAAAAACTTAATTGTATCTAATGATTGCATGAGCAATAAATTTTGTTGTATTGAATTTCCTTTTTACATACAATTTTGTTATCTATCGTAATAAAAACTAATAACCTAGAGAGATTTTGTGAAACACTCACTGATTCAACCATTCGTAGGATATTACATGTAGTGAATTTCGTTTATTCAACGTAGCTTTTTCGGGATAAATTCAAAAATAGCCAGATTTACAAGTGGTCATTCAAAAATAGTCACAGTTTCAAAAGTAATCGAAATTTAGTCACTTTTCATGTAAAGATAAAATTGAACGAAAATAGTGTTCAAAATCCGAAAAATACTCCAGCATAATATACTGGAGTTCCAGCATAAGTATACTGGAACTCCAGCATATTATAATGGAGTACCAGCATAAGTATACTGGAACTCCAGCATAATATACCGGAGTTCCAGTATAATACCGGTCCAGTATAATATGTTGGAAGTTCATAAGCAGGTGCTCCAATCCCAATATATTTTGCTGGAACTTTCCGCGTGTTGGAGTTCCAGCATAATATGCTGGAAGTTCATACACAGGTGTACCGATCTCCAGTATATTATGCTGGACCTGTCCCTGTTGCAGCAAAATAGCGACTATTTTTCAATGACTTTGCAAACGCTGACTATTTTTGAATAGCCAATCGAAAATTGGCTAGTCCTTGCTATTTTTACAGCTTTTTCTGTCAGAGTTACAAGGTAGTACAAGATGTTCCAAAGAGTAACAATGATTCGATTCATGTTTTACTTATTTTCGTAAGTGGACAACAGTAGTTTTTACTCTTGCCTTTAACCACTTCCAAATTATGGCATTAACTCGGTTAATATTGTAGCTTTATTCAATGTGGAACTTAGCGCTCTCAATTTAATTCCATAATCAAGTACAGTAAAAGAAGAATAAATAAAGTTTTTTCTTCATGTAAATCCAGCTTGTGTGATGGGGTCCTTGTATAGGTGTATTTTGTCGTGGCCACCCACCGTCGGCCTTCTTAACCATAATATAAATGCAATCTTTCATGCCAGCTAACTTCATAAAACAAAAGAAAAAGGAAAGAGCTAACTTGTCACAAGTATTAATACATCCATTGCTTTATATTTTTTTGTCTCTCACTCGTTGTCTGATACTCACTTTGCAGCCCCGATTAATTTTGATTTGTGTGGTGTAAGGCCTATTAAATTGAAAAACGTTTCTTATCAGAATTTTTTTTATTCTCAGAGCTCGAATTTGAAATCTGTGATTAAGGGTGGAGAGATCTTATTCATCTCACCACAACCCTAGATAATAATCCATTTCTTTTACCATGAAAACTATAGAAATGCACTTGTCCAATTTGGTCAATTATAGAGGAGAGGGTCGTCTCGTGTATTAACTAGGATGGTTTGTTTTGTAAACAACAATGATTTTTAACAATTGTACCTTCTTTAAGAAACAAAAACATAAAAGTTAGCCACTTTTGCATCTTTTATTTCTTATTCACCTTTTTGTTTGGTTGGTCATTATTGATATTTCATTTCTTGCTGCCTCTGCCCTTTCTT